AACGAACACTGTTTCACACAACACAGAATAAAGCCAAATACAAAATTTCCAGATTTTTTCCCGATTTCCCCCCTTTTCCGATTAAAGAACCATAATTCATCCATTAATATCACATGACATATCCCATGATCTCTCATTTCCCTCACACAAAATAGTGCGTAATCGGAACTGAGTACTGCTCACATTATTACCAAAGTCCCAGGTAGTAACCTTTATCGCCTCCAAAATGTCGCCAAACTACCAGTTACCATATTCTAAAGATCAGCCAAAACTGCTAATAGGTCATTTCATATACTCCCAGGTCAGTTAAAAGAATCAAGTCCACTCACCGCTAACTGTACTTAGATTTATATTTTTCCAAATTTTACAAGATTATAATTCCATTTAATGAAGTTTTTAATTTATTATTAATTTAATTAATTAACTTTTGGAATTGAATTCGTATATCACTTTGAATTGAATCGGACAACTTCAAATTTGAAATTGACTTGAACTATTCCCTTTCTTTCCTTCACACTCTAATTATCTACGGTAAATTTGATTTCAGTATTGCTTTAAATTTTGTACATTTGCTTGCCTTCAATTGTGAAATCATGTCATCTTATTTAATGAAAAAAAAATTATTTTTTACTTTCAAATACATTCTTTTGAGATCTGCTCTTCAGAATCAATCTTCTTTCCTCTCTCAGAACTCAATTTTTTTATTTAGTTGCAGCTGACAGAAGATTTTCTCCTATGTTTTATTGATGAATCTCTTAAAGAATATTTATTTGTCTTGCATCATAAAAATTTTTGCTAATAGTATAAACTATGATAATCTTGTTATTATCCTATTTAATCTTACTATTAGTTACAAAATTGCTCATATTCTCTATATATTCAACCTGCAATTTACCTTTTCTCCAATCAGTAAAACTTGTTTAACTTGTAATGATCCCATCTCTGATTTTAATTTTTTGGAGCGTATCTTGCCAGTGCAGTTTGACATATAAAGTTTTCAAAAGAATTTTCTGTGTTTAAATTCACAATAACTTTGTAACAGATGTTTCCATGTTTAAATTCACAATAATTTTGTAAAAGTGTTTTGGTGAAATAAAGTTTGTACAGCACAACAGTCTTTTAAGTTTCACCTGGCAGATTAAGAAAACAAATCACGATTGTCTTAATGTGCAACACTGCACATTAAGAAAATCGTGATTCTGAAATGAAGTCATTGTAGGAGAATAAACTATATGCACTGTGATATGCAGAGCTGAAATCATGTGCTTGCACAATGAAAATTCTGAGTATGCGTCATAAAATATCCAAGACGTAAAAAGCAACTAAAAGTTGTATGCAAAGTTTCTGGAAACAGGAAGTGTTATGGAGTTACATGGATGCAACTGGCCAATGCAAATTTAAGAGAATTGACAGTTGATTGAATAAAGAAGAGCAGTGTATTGATCTATAATCATCAGCTTTTAGGACTTGGCATGTGATTCTGAATTGTCGTAAAGAACACATATATCAAAACATGCATCTATTAGAACTTTCTCTAAACCAACTTCCTGTGCCTTGTTTGAAATGTTGCCTCTTGCTACGCCAATCATCTCTTCACTTATCTTCAACTAGCCAGTTCATGGTAAATCCATGATGCTTCTCGTCACTTTGCATGCCACATCTTGATGCTTTGAACATCTGAAGCCAGTTAGAGTAGACTGAAGGGTACCCCTTGTATTATCGCAAAGTTGTTTCATTTATCGCCAAGTTGTTGTTTCATTTATGATAACCTGAGTAGTTGAATGTTCCGTAAATATACTTTTACCTAGAACTGGGTGCTTCTTTGACTTTTTAGGTGAAAATATATCGATGTCTAGGGAGTGCGCAGTGCCAAGTTTGTGCGATTCTCTGTTGTTTTTTTAAGTGAAAATCGGTGGACATGTACATGGATAAAATCAAGGGAGTGCGCAATGGCCTAGTTTGTGGAATTCTGTGATTTCTTTTAAGTGAAAATAGGTCAAAAATTGCTGCTACACAAAGCCAAAATAACAAGTCAAAGAATTGCTCAAACTCAGTGTCCATGTGCCGCTAAAAATCACCAATTTTCGCCAAGGGGTACCCATAAATATACTTTTACCCTGAAGCCTTTTTTGACGCAAACTGCTGAAGTTGTAATGTAACAGCATGTAAAATTTCGTTCCTTATACTTTAGCATGCTGTTCACTTTCTCTTAATGCCATCTTGGAATCATCTGTTCTTTCTATTTATTGCAAGTTATAGTTATTAGTTATTGCAGGTTGTTGTTGTTAAATATGGGAACCACTTTTGAAAAACCCTCTGTATCAGTGAGATTAAAACATTGTTAAAATTTCACTTCAAAAAACATCAAGTCTGTGGTCAAAAATGAAAAATAAATAAATCTTCAATAGGTAATATTAGTTGGTCACGTAACAGTTTCAGCTTTTTTAGTTGATGAATAGAGCTTCTTGAATCCAGGCATTCACAAAAATTTATCTTATTTAATTAATGAACATTAATTTATACTGTTCAACATTTTTAGTCTCAGCTTTCCATTTTTTATTACCGTTTTCTGTAACATGTTGTGCTGTGATAGTTTTCTCTTTGCTTTGCCCATTGATTGCCCTGTAAATATATCTATTGCTCCTTCCAACTTTGTGAAAAATATTTGCTCCTGAAAAGAACAACTTATGTCTGGCTGCTATCTTCAATAAAACAGTAAAATTTTATTCAAGATTTGTGCCATTTTAAGGTTGATTTTTTTGTGTAAATTTAAACCTGAATTTTAAATTAGTGTTTTTCCTTAATTTTTATTTCTCCTAAATTTGCATCTTACAGTGAAACTTTGTGCATGAGGTTCTGTCATTCAGATTGATTCTACAAATATGCATTTTCAGTAAATGGTGCATGTTATACCTTTGATGATCCGAGACCTAATATATATTTAGATTTAGAAGCAATTTTTAGTTCTTTTGGAGTCAGTAAGTTGAAATCAGTATATATTTATTGGATGGGGTAAGGCAACAGTCATCATTTGACAGGTTATTTTAACACATATCAGTATATATTTTCCAATTCAAATTTGCAGCAACCTATTTTAGCACTTTTCTACTTATTTATCATAACTTTTGATATTTTTTCATAAGTTTTTTTGGCTCAGTTTCAAGTTTATGAAATGCATGTAACTTAAAATTAGGATAGAAAAGCATGCGAGTTAGAATTACTCTTAAATTTAATATACATTTAAGGAGAAAAAAGTTATAAACTTTAATGTTGTTGAGACATTAGGTATTTTTTTGGAAGCAGACAAGATGAAAAATTAGCAACACTTCGCCGGGAATCAAACCACGGACCTCTCAATTACGCGCTGAGCATGCAGACCACCACACCACGAAGGCATGCAAAGAAGGCAGGAGAAATATCTTATATACTCCCCCTTTTAAAGGGCGACTGGGGTTTTTAGGGGACCCAATAGCCAAATCCTAGGTGAGGAGAATCATCATCCAACACCCTTTTTAGTTCTGGTGCCACTGTAGTGTCATTAGGAATTTTTTTTTTTTTTTTTTTTTTTTTTTAAAGCAGGAGAATTGAAAAATTAGCAGCGCCTTTGCCGGGAATTGAATTACGGACCTCTTAGTTATGCGCTGAGCATGCAGACCACCACACCATGAAGGCATGTGAAGAAGGCATGAGAAATACCTTATAATGTTAAAATCAGTACTTATAATACAATTCAATTTTAGCATTTAAATTTAATAACTGCTTCAACGAGAAACGGAATTCTTTTAATTATCTAAAAAATTGTGGCTAAAATTTAAAATGGGAGAGTTAAATTATTCTTGTTGTTTCTGTATTTAACAACTTTTGATCAGCTTTGTGATAAAAAATACATGACAAATTATATTATTATATTATTATATTTATTATATTTATTTATATTATTATACTTATAATTATTTAAATGTATTTTTATTATTATATTTATTATTACTAATTACAGTTAAATTATATTCATTTTATAAAATTATGGTTAAATTAGTTATATATATTATTTATTATTATAGTTATTTTCTGACGTATCTGTGTAAATAATTCAGTAAAAGAAAATTTATTGATATCAATCTCCATTCTGAAGGCAAATGTATATTTTTTAACTTTCGTTAATTTTTTAAAAACATAACTGAATTTAAAACTTTTTTTTCTGCCTGTGAACTGCGAATCATGAAATTTTTAAATCACTGTATGAAACTGTAAAGTTTTATTTAATTATGTGGTTACTTTTTATGAATAAAGAGAAAGTTAATTTACTGCAGTATAATTTAGAGGTACTCTTCTGTTATTGGAGACCGGATTCAGAAATGTATATGTGTATATATTGCTATGTATATGTATGTATACACATGTGTTATGTAGGTATATATGTGTGTATGTATGCATATATGTATACGTTCATTTGTATATATATACACATGCGTCCATTTCTGAATCCGTTTCTGATAACAGAAGAGTACCAAAACTTCTAAATTTATTGATTTATATGTCTTAAAAAATGTTTCATTCTTTTGGTAAATATTAAATACTTGAAATGTTTTATATTGTTATATAAGGTATATCACTTATTATCTATCATATTTATAATTGCTATATATTTATTTTAACTATATAGATAGAAAATTGAATAGCGAGAGATTTTATTAAGTTCCAAAGCCTGCTTGGTATAAAGTTGACGAAATAATTTGCACCGGATATGTATTTTGTTTATAGAAATAAATGTACTAGATAAAAATAGTGTATAAACTTACATTGTGCAATTAATTCCATCTTGTTTCTCTTTTCTTGATAATCATGATAATTTCCATCTAGTTGTTTTAATACTGTGTTCAGTTTTTATAATTGTTTATTAAATTGTGTGTATTTTAGTTCAAATTTCACTCATAATGTTTGTATTCTTTAATTCTTATTATTATATTTACTCTCAAAGAAAATGCTTGTTTTTATACCAGATTCACAGAATGCTAAACCTAATACTTCTATTCCTGTTAATGAAAAAGAGGAATACTGCATAATGTTAAAAGGAAGGCTGAATAACCATACATTGCTATATAGTGCTGAGGTTGATGGAGAAGACCCTTCTTATTATCGCCATCCTGGAAGTGATCCTAATTCCACCAGACGTTACATGGAATTGAAAACTTCTAGAATTATAACTAATGAGAGACAAGATTTGAACTTCTGTAGGTAATGCTAATATTGTGTTGTAATTGATTTTTTTTTCTACTGTGGTAAAATCATTTCAGCAAATATTATAGTATATGGTTAAACATTTTTACTTGTTAGTAAAATTAGGTTTTAATTTCTAATTTATGTAAATAATCTTTAATGCTATTTTCAATTGCACATTAAAAATTCTGTCATATATACATAATTTTTTTAAACCTTAAATATATTTTTTAAGAGATGGAAAGAAAGGCATGCAAAAAGTAACTATATATTAAAAAAATTTAATGGGTATGAAAATAGATTATTGGTTCAGAATATCAAAACTGTATATAAAAGATAAGCTGTTTGCAAACGAATGTTTAGAAACTTTAAATTTAAATATAATTTTTAATCATTTGAATAGAATATTAATTTAAGAAAGTGTTAAAAAGGGTGGACAGAAAAGGAAAGGAAGACTTGCATCTATGCTTATTAATATGATTTTATCCATTGTTACTTTCTGGTGCTTCATTGAAAATTAAGCAATTTTTCTATAGTACTTATGCACATGTATTTTCTTTCTTTAAATAAATTGCTTTATTGTGTTCTGCCGTTCTTCATCATTAGTTTTATTTAACTTTTCTAAGGGGACTTAAGCAGTTTAAAGTATGGTCTTGATAGTTAAAACAAAGAAATGATGATGATTCTGCAAAACAAAAGAGCAAAAACTCTTATTATATACTAATGTTAGTATAGTTTTTTGGAAAGTGGGGAGTTAGACCTAAAAATGCATGCTTACAAAAATCAAACTACTTTGCGGTATTTCATCATAATATTGAAATGTCTAAAAAATTTTCTTTTGATAGGAATTTTAATGAATAAGATTCAGTTGAAGATTTTTATCATATATAAAAAGAAATTAGCTAGAAAGAGAACTGAATTCTCATCTAAACAGTTTTAGATAAATAAATAATCATATATAGCATAATGTAATGCATATTGAAAGATATTTAGTCTTTTAGCACATAAATTTAAAAGCCATGCTGCTTACCTATAATATGCAGTGCATCTACAAAGTGTTAAAATTACATTTATAAAGCACTAAATTTATGCGAAATATCTAATAGTTTCATCACTTTTAGCCATCCTGTTATTTTTGTATTTAATCTTTCTAATGCTACGCACAACTTGACATGTTTATGGGGATGTTAGCTATTTTTGCAGAAATCAAATTTCGAAAATGCTCTGATTTCCAAATGATGTTTTTTTAAATATCTGAAATGGTGCTCTTTTTGGTGAGATTTTTCTTTAAAAAGAAACAATGTAAAAGGGCCAAATCTGATAAGAAAAATAAATTATTTAAGATAATTGTACTTATCTTTGCTATCAATTGCTTGATGGTACAAAAAATTATGAAAACAAACAAAATAAAATAAAAATGTAAATAAATAAATAAAATCTCGTTATCTGAATCAGCCTTTTCTAACTTAATGCCTGAAATCTTTTTTCATACGCTAGTTATACTGTATTTTATTTAGAAAATGGGGTTTTACATTTGTGTTTGAAAAACAAATTCATTTTCAAAATATTTCCAGTCAGTGAAATGATCTTTTCTTCAGACTTCTGTGATGAGGAAAATTTTTTATCTTTGCCAGATGGTTATCTTTTTTAAGCCGGAAATAACACATTATTTAAAATTTTATAAAAAAATTATGAGGTTGTGAATGAAAACTGAATTATTTCTTCATTGATTAGTGTAATAAAATATTACCATCCTTTTTCATAAACTTATTTTTCTCATAAATGAATGTTAATTTAATGAATAATGTTATATTTTTAATTAATGAATAATGCTATATTTTAGCGGCAATTATAAATAAAAATGTCATTTATGAAGAGCTGGAAGACAAATACTTATGAAAGAGATTTCTGTGTTTTAAGCATAACCATGTTCATTGAGTGATTCTAAATAGTTGACAACCTAGAAATTTTGTTAGTATAGTAAAAGAGCAGACATTTATATTTATCCTCTGTAAATCTTAGAAAGATAAAAATAATTCAGTTATTATTCATAGTCCTTTTTAAAAAAAAAAAAAAAAAAAAATTTAATTATAGAATGCTTTCTTTTTTTAAAACTTTTCTTTTTTTACTGTTGTCATAAATGCAATTAAAATGTAGTAAAAGTAAAGTGACAAATTTTTTTACAATGAAAAGGAGGACAAAAAGTTAAAGAAAAAGTAAATCGCAAATAAATGAAACATTTTTATTAATTTACCAAAAATATAACAATTTGTTTACATCCCTTTTAATTATTTAATTAAGGAAATTTAATTATGAATGGAATATTTTTTGTCAATACATCATTTTCTAACAAAATACGGGAAATATCGGAGCAAAAAATATACTTCATATCGAATTTTACAGTAAGTGCTGCAGCTAAAGTATCAACATTCAATCTTGATTTCTCACTTGTCCAAAAATCATGACCAATTGAAAAAACTCTTTCAACTGCTGCATTAGTTCCAGGGCAACACAATGTAAATTCAACAAGAATAACTAAATTTTAATACGAAATGTGTTCATTTTTAAAATGGTTAAACATTTCCACCCATCTTTTATCATTTTTAATATGTTGATTTTTCCATTGTTGCAATATATCAGTGTTTTAATATACGTTCAATCTTCTAATTTCTTCAAACAGATGATTGTAATCGATTTTAATATCAGGTATTTCTTTTGATAAAAACTCAAGACAATTTTCAATATCTGCCCAGTTTATTAAAACTGTTATTTATTGCGATATTTGTTTCTGATCATTCTTCGACATATCGGAAACATATTTCAGAAAAATTTTGTGCTTCTTTTTTAAACTTTTTCCGTTATGCCCAGATTTGATTCCTCTAAGTTTGACAATTTCCTTTTTATTGTTAAAGCAATAAATTTTTCTTCAAATCATGATTTATATTGAAGGACAAAATCGTTCAAAATAAGGCAAACTTCTGTAGCTGAAATATGTTCACATTCAATCTTTTGAATCGTTTTGTGGAAAACAGATACCTGATTATGGACAAAATGCATTAATACCTCCAATAATTCATTTTGGAAAAAGATTCTAGAATTTTTGGACATTTGTCTAAACTTAAAAAATATGAATGGAGAGGCTCAAATAATTGTAAAATGCACTCTATAGCAGTTGTTAAAGCAAGCCATCTAACTTTTGGATATCCTAAAAGTTTCTTGTATTCAACATTTGCGTCTTCACAAAATTCTTTTTAAAGCAGTCACATGAACTGTAAAACGACTCAAAGGCAAATAAATTGTTGTTATTATTACTTCTACATCAATTGGCATGGCAGATGGCACGGTGTTTATTGCATTTGACAAAATATATGCATCACAACCTATGCCTAATATTTTCTTTTGGAGTAAATCTTGTAATTTTACACAGACATTATTTACTCCTTTGCGCCTTCTCCCACCAAAATTTGTGTTTGTATTATCCGCTGTTAGTGCAACAACTTTATATTTCAAATTGTTTTCATTTATTACTCTGTATAGGTGGTTCACCAAAATTTCAGCAGTATTGCCCTCAATGAACTCTAAATTAAAAATTTTTAAGTGAATGCTCTTGTTAACATCTTACTAGTATTGGATGCAATTTTGTTTCATTATGATTTGATACATCAGGTAAAACCATTATAAATGCTGCATTTTTCAAGTATTCTGGAAGCATATTATCGCAGTAATTTTTGAATACTGATTTAATAATAGCCTCACATTTTGTTCTCGCACATGAAAATTTAGGATTGTGAAAGTTTTTCAGTAATTTTGTTGTACAATTCATACTGCGGAAACTTCGATTATGAATTATTGTATGAAATGAAAATGTTCCCTCCATTACAGCTGTTTTTCCTCTTCAAAGTAATTAGAAGTTTAAAAAATTTTTTACTTTATTACTGGAAGTTGATGCATCTAATGATTGCTTATGTTTGTTGGTGTTTGAGTGCTTAGTTATGACTGCTTTGCCTCCAACTGCAATACAAAATTGGGTACTTTTCCATCCATGCCAGAGCAGGTAATAAAGTCGTCAATAATGGTACAACTGATGCCAAACGGAATATTCTCGCTGTTAACCTTTTACGCCTCATTTTCAAAACAAGTCACAGTCATTTCTTATCAGATTGATTCTTTCTTTCAATACTGTCAAAGAATTTTTACCAGATAGTTCAATTTTATGCCCTAAGGCCATTCGTGGTAATTAAGTCAATTAGGATGTAATCACACCTTTTACCCGAAGGCAAAAATATAGAAAAGGTAAAGTCAAGATTTAAAATTCATCAATTCTAATGAGAATGCATTAGCAAAGTACAGCACTGCGGTTTTACATAATTTCTGACTAAGCTATTCATACAAATTGAAATAATTCTTGCATTTAAACTTGCATTCCAAATTAAGATTTAACTTGAAATTAATGTAATAATTACTGAGAGAATTAGATTTTTGTAGCGTAGTTTGTGTGATTTATGTGAGATGAGATCATTTGGGGTCTATGCACCAGCAAATCAGGATGTTGAAACATAAAAGCATAGTAATTTCTTTTTACAAATTAATATCTTTTTACAAATGTATTGTCTTTATTTATTGACTTTCTACAAAATTTTAAACGATATTAAAATGCGTATGCCTTCAAAATAAAAATTTCTTAGAACTAACATTTGTTAAAATTTTTTATGTGTGTACTTGTATACAGTATATTGTCGCCAATAAAGTCTGCTTGGCGAGATTTGCACAGGCGAAACAGAAAAGTACCCAAAATTCTCCTCTGCAAATATTGCAGAAAACAATGGTGTCTTTCTTTGTCACGAGAAATGAAAATTCCTTCTTCAACTGATCGTTGAAATGGCACTTCCTCTTCTTTGATTTTTCCATCCTTTAAATAAAATTAAAAATAAAATATGGAGCAACACAAAAATGTAAGCACATTATAAATAAATAAAACTAAATCTTTAATAACAAAAACTATAAAACTTGACTAAATCTATATTTAAATTTTTAATTATTTTATACTTGTGTTGAAAACAGAGTTGTGTAATGAAATTATATTAATGAACAAATAAAACGTGAATTCTACTTAGTAAGGCACATACCTGAGTATAATAATTAGGTACTTTTCCGTTTCGCCGGCGCAAATCTCGCCAAGCAGATTTTATTGGCGTCAACATACAGTATACACATAAAAAATATTTAAAAAAATGTTAGTTTTAAGAATTCTTTTTTTAAAGGCAAAAACATGTTAATATCAGCTTAAAATTTTTATAAAAAACCGATAAATAAAGACAATAAATTTGAAAAAGACATTAATTTAAGAATTTACTACGCTTTCATGGTTCATATCACGTGACCCCAAGCGATCTCATCTCACGTAAACTACTGTACACAAAATCTAATGCTCTCAGTAATTATCTACATTAATTTCAAGTTAAATCTTAATTTGGAACAAAGTTTAAATGCAAGAAATATTTCAATTCGTACGAATAGCTTACTCAGAAATTATGTAAAACTGCAGTATTTACTTCGCTAATGCATTCTCATTAGAATTGATGAATTTAAACTCTTGACTTTACCTTTTCTATATTTTCGGCTTCGGGTAAGCGCTGTGATTGCATCCTAATTGACTTAATTACCGAAAATGGCCTTGGACATAAAACTGAACTATCTGATAAAAAATTCTATGTAATTATATGCCAGTATTGAAAAAAAACAATCAATCTGATAAGAAAAAGCTGCGACTTGTTTTGAAAATGAGGCCTAAAAGGTTACCAGCGAGAATATTCCGTTTGGCATCGGTTGCACCATTATTAGCGACTTTATCGCTTGCGCCGGTAAAACGGAAAAGTACCAATAATTATACAGTGAAAGAAATTAATTTGTATTTGTATCAGATGTAAATGCGAACTATAATATTATAGACACATTAAAATAAAGTGCGAGTGTGTGAGACAAGCGTCGTTGCGCGAAGGTTTGATATGCCCAGAATGTGCTGTGTATGCATTTTATAATCATGTTTTTTCAAACTGCACCATCACATGACAATTGATGCATAACATTTCGATGCGGCATCTTTAAATAATACAGAGATAAACAGATTAGTTGTAAAATATTGAAAAGGATAACAGCTGGGAGGACATTTCTTGAGGAAGGACAGAGCCTACCAAAGGAGGAGGATTGATCACCTTAGTAAAAGTGCTGCAAGACATTTTTCTAATACTTTCAGAATATAATTGCAATTATATTTATCTTAATTTAAATTTGTAATTTAAATTGCATGTTCAATCTGTGAAATTTTAAAATATCATGTATTTTATTTCTTTAGGTACAAACTTCTGAAATGGTGGATTCAGTCTTTTCTGGTTGGTATTCCTAAAGTCATCTGTGGTTTTCGTGATGATCAAGGAATTGTTCGAAATTTAAAAGTATTTCATGTGAAAGAAATGCCAAGAATGGCTGAGGTAAAGATGTTTTTCTGTTTTGCCATTTAATATGGTAAGAATGTTAAAGCATTGCTCTTCAGTTATATTGTGTCTTGTAATGAAATTGCAAAGCTCCTAAACTGTAATCTGCATAGATTGAACCAAAACTTTCTGGCTTGGTATACATCTGCAAGAAGTAGAGGAAATTTTAATAGTTTACTTTTCAATATGATCACCTTCTGCCTTGATACACCTGTCCACATAATTTAATAAGCAGCTGTATCTGAAAAAGTAATCTGAAGGTTTTTCTCCATATGATCCATAACTGCTGTTTTCACTCCAGCATAATCATTAAGTCTGTTTCCTCGAAGGTCAAATTTCAATTTTGAGAACAGAAAATACTACCTTGGTGTTAAATCTGGGCTATAAGGGGGCTAGTCCATGCTCCTTAATTGTACCTACAAGTAATTTTGAAATGCATATCTGGTTTGCTGTTTTTGAATTGCACTTGCATCTTGCTGATTTTGAATTTGCAAAAGAAGTCAGGGAATTCATCTTACAAAGACTTTGTATTTTTTTTATTTTTTTATTATTATTTTTTTTTAATGTTAGTGCTCCAATGGTTGACTTTTATGAGAATCATCATCTGCAAATTCTCAGCATATGCGAAACTGTTTTATCCATTCTTTCATTGTCTAAGGCAAAAGAGGTAAATCTACATACACATGCTTTATCCGCTGTTTTATTTCTTTGGGATTAAGACCTTCTTTAGTAAAAAAAATTATCACTGAATGATACTAAGTTTTAAACATTTCAGAACAAACTAGCTCATCATTTTATCCTGTAAACAATAAAAAGGAATGTAAATGTACAGAAATACATAGCAAAAGCTCTATAGACTTTTTGGAAACTGTGAAGGTATTTGATATTCAGTACCAATTCTAATTTGTGATTTTAATAAATTGACAATTTACTATGAAATGGCTGATCTTGGCTATATCTTCAAGCTATCCAATTTTTAACAAAGTTGATCTTGAAGCTTTTGTTCAGAGCCAAGTCTAATGTTTGTACTTTTTCAAAATTCCTAGTTAGTTTTCTCTGAAAAAGCACAATTAAGATAATATTCAAAAGAAGTGGCATAATTGGGGGAGGGAATTACCTGAATTTCCTCAAAATCAACCTCAAGCCTTTTTTAAATTGATATATCCACTTTTGTTAATTGTGCATGGGATGCAGTATTATAATTGATTCAACACTTGACATTTGATCATTAGAAAAACTATATATATATATATATATATGGATAATATAAAATAGTAAGGCACAAAATCATGATGTTAACATGTGTAAACTGTATGATGAAAAATATGCGAAGAATGTAATGAATGAACACAACAAAATTATTTTTTCTAACTCTTGTTCATGTAGGCAGCAAAATGATTCAAATACAATGCCTATCTTTTGAATAAGTCAGTTTTATATGTTGCTTTTTTCAGATCCTTTAGTAATGAAATTCTTTGATTCAAGGAATCCAAAGGAAAAAATTCAGTAATAACAGTTAAATGATATCTTGGATCATGAACAATTCTAAGTGTGCTGTTACATCACACATAGCCATAATTGGTGCTAAATCATGCTGGTTGATGACAGTTTCAGGATTGATGGGATACTGTAATCTAGAATATTCAATAGTGGCCAGCTCATGTTCTGCCATAAATCTTGTTATATTTTCAGAGTTTGTGTCCACCAGCAGCCAAGCGGTAAAGTAACTGAACACTGGTAGTTCAGTCTGGAATTTGAATCTGGTGAATGGGCTTGCCAAATGGGTGTTTTCATGCTTTTATCTGTGTGTAACATGTATATGAGCCAATTTATCATAGAAAGTCCTCTATGAAATCATCCCATCCCTAAGGCAGATAGTCAAGTGCTTTGCCATAATCAAATAAACCAAACCAAGCCATTCAGAATTTGGTTTGATATCATGAATGTAGCATTTTTCCTACAAATCAAACTATCTGCTGTAATGATTCAATTTCAGTACTAAATTATAAAGTATTTTTCTCTCTGATCTATTTTTAAAAGATCTAATTTACATTCGTATATATAAACTCGAGTAAAGACGAAACACTTTCGTATTTACGTAGTTTTATCAATTATTGTTCATTGAATGGGAGTTGGTTTGTTCCTCTTGAAAAGTCAACTAATTTCCGATCAATGACAATGATTACATGTTTTTAATTTTTCCTTTTACAATTGAAATATTATTCTTCGTGATGATTTAACTCCAGTCCCCGTTAAAACATTATTAACATTTTGCTTTCAAATTACTTCAAAACATCTTTCAAAATATGACTTACCAGTATGGATGCACACTTTTAAAATAATTCTACTTTAATTAAACTTAGGAGATAATATAATCAATTAATCAATACTGTTTAGGAAATAAATTATTATTAACTAACTTTGCAGCAATTGCGCAAGTAATAATAACTTGTATTCGCACTAAATGGATTTAAGATCATACAACATTTGATATGCTAAATAGCAGCTATTAGCGCTATTTATCTCTTACCTAATGTACCCACTTTATATATTATCTCCATCCTTTTTAAGTTTTAAAGTTCTTATACAAAAACTTTATTGTATTGAAGGTTAGCAGCCTCCTTACTTTTATATCGTGCTAGTTTAACTCATATTGAAATCACTAAATGTCATTCCACTAGATGACAAACTTGAAAATTTAATGCCATGCCTGCTACAGGTAAACCCAAAAAACAATTTCTATGAAAAACATTTAACTGTATTTACATTATTACATGTGGTACTTGACATATTAAATATATAGGACAGACTAAAAACAATCTTAACTTTCGAATCAATAACCATAGAGCTCAAATCAAAAAATTCAACGCACAAAAAAATAGCATTAAAATAAGTAAACCATCACAAACTTAATACAGCAGAATTAGAGCACTTTAAACACCATGACTTCAACTCTATTCAACTTCAGATACTAGATATAATACCCAATCACAAAACACGAATTTTTCAGAAATCTCTCTATATACTAAAACAACGTTCACTTTATCCATATGGACTTAACACTTATATACATAGTCATAGAGATACTTCTAAGAAGTCTATTTTCAGCCAATTTAAACTCTACAGCATCAAAACGCAGAGAGGAAAAAGAGGAAGCAAAATAAAAATAATGCGAGATTTTATCCACTTTGGATACACTTGCATTGAAAAAACAATTGAAATGTTTTTTTGACTCAGACTGCTTTCCCAAGAAACTTCTCAACTGGTTACACTCCTGTACTAATAAATTCCTTATCAAACTAAAAAAATTCATTCAAGAAAGCTACGACGACATACAAATCATTAAAGACATGATTCTTGATTTTAGTCTTTTCAGACTCTCTAATAGTCTCACTCAACGCAAAATTTATTTTAAAGTCAATTTTCTGCATCCGCAGTTTGACAATATTCATTTCTCAAGAATCATCAGAGATTGTAAAGATTACTTCCCCGCAGTTGACACAATACCAATGATTGCATTTAAATATCAAAGGACCTTAAGCAACTTGCTTACTAACCACCATGAAATAGATGAAACTGCAGAATGACATTGTAAGACACCAATTTACAGCAATTACGTAGATTCTCATCACCAGCACATAATTACTGGCAACCTGAATATCATACAAAAACCATCAACTAAAAACACTAATGAGTTATGGTACAAAATTTAGACCAGTCAGAAACATGACTACAAATTACTGTTACAAGACTTTCGAAAACAACATCAACGAATTTATAGTTAAAGCAAGCTATCAACTGAATTTACCCATAGATACCTTCTTAAAAATGGAAAGCTAAAATTCTTCAACGCATATCCACCGAAATCAGTCACCTCAAATTTAAAAGTACACTGAATTGGTCACAACTTACATCAGATATTAATAAATTAAAACAGCTTTTTACTATTACAAAAATAGATAAAGCAACTAATAACTTTAGCATTATATGAAAACAATTCTACGCTGAAGATTATTCATAAAGAACTTCTCAACGCAACTACTTATCAATTAGCCAACCTTACAGAAACATCTATAATAAACAGGATTAAAACTTTTCATAAGAAACTCAATATTACTTTCAATGCAAACTACAACAGATTTACTAATCTTTATGCGATTCCCAAATTCCATAAAACACCATTAAAATTTAGATTTATAGCTAATGGAACTAATAATTACAAGAAAAATATAGACTATTATTTTTCAATTCAACTTAATAAAATCTGTAAATTTATTTTCAATGATTGTAACACTAATCATAACTATTGCTGGATCATTCATAATAACACTCCTGTCATTAATACCATTCATACCATTAACATCCAAAACATTAACTGCTATGATTTTGAAAACTTATATACCTCACTTCCTCTAGAAGAAATCTATACCAGTCTACTTGATCTACCAAAAACTTTTCCCTAATATACTCAATATCATGACTCTTGACAAATGGAAAACCTACCTAAAATGCACACTTTTTCATAACTACATCAAGTTTCAAAATCAACTTTTTAAACAAGTCAGAGGATTGCCAATGGGCTTACATTCCAGCACCTCGATCTGTAATATCTTTTTATTTGTCAAAGAATTTAACTTCCAAAAAAATCTACAACCACAAGAGTTAAATTACTACAAACACACACCTACAGATATATTGATGACCTTATTACAATTAATAATTTTGGTAAAATTGAAAACTCCGACATTTATCCGAATTGTCTTAAAACTTAATAAAACTAATAATTCACAAAATAGCATAGACTTTCTAGATCTTCAAATCATTAACTACAAAAAAATTTTACTTTTGGCAAAACAAGAAACTTCAATTTCAATACTAACAAATTAATAAATTGGAACTCCAACATATCCAAAAAAGTAATTAACAATACTATAATTAATCAAATACAACGAATTAAAACTATATGCACAGATACAATAGATTTACAACGCGAAATT